GAGCCTCGGATGGCATTCTCTTAGCCTATCATAAATTTATTAAATAACTGGATAGATAGTGATACAATTCATGAAAAGTAAGACTGCAGATTAGGGCTTCTATGTCAAAGATGTGATGGGCTCATGGTTAGACTTGGGTAGTTTATTATGTTGGTGCTACAGACAAATAGAAATGCTCAGTAGACATTTAGATATAGGGTAAGAACCTTAAAATATTTGGTTTTGTTCTGCTAAGGTATATTTGGGAGGGATCAGCACATTCAAAATTTCTGGAAAGGTTCAGAATCATGAGAGTCCCTAACACTGAAGAGAAGAGCAAATAAAGAGAAACACTAGAAGGGGAGAGTGTAAGGGGCTACTAGAGAAGTAGAATGACATCCAGGAGAGTGATGTCACATAACCTTCGGAGTTAAAGATTCCAGTTTTAGAGCAAACACACTATGCTTCAAATCAGTGATACTCAAACTTCTAAGTCTCAGAACTTCTTTATATATTTAAAAAATTTTGATTAATCCAAAGAATTTTTGCTTACATAGAGTATAGCTATTAATATTTATTATATTATATTAGAAATAAAATTGAGAAGATTTACAATTCTATTAGTTCATCTAACTAAAATGTTTATACATTCACTGGATATTACTAAAAGAAAATACTTTTGTCAAATGATGATTTAAAAACATTTAGTGAGATGGGTGACATTGTTTTATGAAAATCTCTTGAGTGTGTAGATTAATAGAAGTTAGCTGGACTGTCATATATACTTTTGCATTTAACCTGGTGTAGTATATTGTTTGGGTTAAGGTATTTTTGGACATACATATGTATGCAGTTTGGAAAGAGAGGAGTATTTTCATAGCCTTTCATGATAATTATGGATATTCTCTTTAATGACAGTTTCTTAAAGATTAGTTACAATGTGGAATTCAAACCATATTAATTAACTTTTTGCACTTTGTTATATTCAAATTCCTCAGTATATTTAAACTTTAAGTGAATCTTTAACTCATGCATAATTTTGTGTTATCTCTCATTGGTCATTTGGAGAATAGTGGCTCACTTCGTTATAAAGATCTTCCAAATGTTGAAACATTTCATTATATAATATAAAAAATTGTATTCATCAATATAACTGTTATTTGTATTAGAAAAGTGAACATGGAAGCTGTCAAAGTACAGTGGCAGACATTGGTTTCCCAATATTTAATTTTCTCTTGAAAGCCCAATTTTGATCATCGTCAACACATACTATCAGTTGTTTGTATTGAAGGGATAGGTTTACTACATTTATTTTTAGCAAAATGTCTGCCAAATACCCAAGTCTCAATAACCATGGTTTAACTGTCAGTGTTCTTTCCATGGTTTAACTGTCAGTGTTCTTTCAAGTAAAATTATGTTCCATGAAAAAAGCAGCTAACTCAGAAACTTATAACTCAATTGCATAAGCACTTTCCTTTGGTATTCAACTGATTTGCTTAATACATACTTCTCATTTTGTCACATGGAATATTACAAACACATTGTATTTAAGGGTTGAGATTTAATAAAACTAATAATTCTTATTACTTAATCAAAGACGTTATTTAGTGATAATGGCTTTTTTTTTTTTTAAACTGTGAGCATGTTTTAGTGAGGAATTATGGAACAGTTTGGGGCCTCTGCCTTGATTCATGATAAGGTACCAGAAGTTTTACTACCATTGATTTTGCACAATCAATACAAATGTCAAAAAAGCAAGAAGGACCAGTAATGACTTTGTATTGGTGTGAAAATAGTTTTGATTTTTCAGACCCCCAGAATGGGTTTTAAGGTCCCCTAGGGGTACATAGATCACACTTCGAGAATTGCGACTTTAAGTTTGAGAAGCCTGCCTCATCAAATGTGTCAGAAAAGTTAGGAGGAAAAAACTCCAAAATCTAAAACCTCAAACAACTAAAAGTACTCCATTAGATTTTTCAGCAAGGAGGATGCTGGGGATATTATTGAGACGAGTTTCAGTGTTCATGTTTTTCAACCTAATGCATCTTAAACTTTAGTAATATTTACTTGTGTGAAGTGATGTAAAGAAAAAAATATACTCTTCTACACCTCAATAGATGTATTTTGCTCCCCCAAATGGAAATGCTTAAATGTATGAAGGCATTAATTATGGTTGTTACTGACCTGGAAAAGCATATCAAATTTATCTGACTAGGAACTAAATGTATTTTCCCTCTTTAAATTATGGATGTAGCAAGTAAAACAATTTCACATGCCATGTATAACAACTCAAGGGAAAACAAATTCCAAGTATGTGATAGTCAGAAACCTCATATCCTCTGGTTACAATGTACAGAAGTCAAATGCAATAGTTGAATATCTTAAAAACTTGCTTTAAAATGACTTGAGTAAAAGGTATGGGGTCGTTTCATATATCGTAGGAGGTATGGGACTCACCATCTGAGTGATATGCATAGGAAAGGCAGACAATGTGCAAAGAAAGTAGTATTTATTGAGCATCTTCTTCTCTAGGTCTTTTTGTGAGTCAGAAATACTGTCTGTCTGTTCTTATGTAAGTCTTTAAAGTCCAGTACTATTAGCCCTTCCTTAAAGACCATTAACCATATCTAAAACCATTAACCTATCTAAAACCCTATCTAAAAGTGGTTTGCATCTAGATTAAAGAACTTACAAAGATAATGGGATTTTTATTTTCTTGATTAATTTTATTAGATTAAAATCAATTTCTTTATGAAGTATGAATTTCTTTTTCATTCAAAATATTTGTTAAGCTTTGGCTTCTACATGCAGGATAGTGTTCTATAGTACCAGACTACATAGTTTCAATTTATAAAGCACTTTTGCAAATGCAACTCTAAAGAAACTGAGGCTGATAGGTCAGGTAATCTTTTCATCATTTCACGGTACTGTGTGACTTGAGCAGCTCTTGAAGCTAGGGAACACACACTGTTACGGGAAAATAAGTAAGAGACATACTTTGCTGTTCTCAGGTCATAATTACTAGTATTTTCATAATTACTGGTACTAGCAACAGTAAATTCTAGAATATTCCACCTAATCAGTAATAGATATATTTAAATATGTATATTCGCGTTTATATTGTCATCTAGTGCCTATTTTGTTTTACTACTAATTCTGGTTTAGTTTCAGACCAGATGTGGTTTCATTACTGAACATTTTTCACCAATATTGAACAAATGCTCTCAACATTACCTGACATCAACATTTAATAATTCCTATTTTGAACTAATCAGTAACGGTGGTGAGTAGAAATAAAAATTTAAAATAAAACATTGTTTAACTTTTACATTATGGCTGTAATAGTAGATACATGGAAATGAAACTATGGCCACATGCAGTATCCATTTGTTACAAGAGAAGGAAATTGCTTTGTGTGAGGTTACTTTTGAAAACTCCTGTTAGTCATGAACTGTCAATTTAACTAAAGACTGATTTTTTTCCAAGTGGAGAGACCATTATTTGTAAAGCTTTAAGACACAAAGCTAAATGCAAACCAGTCGCCATACGTTTTCAGCTTTATTTAAACTTTGGTATACCATTATTGTAAAGTTTTAAGACACATAGCTAAATGCAAACCAGTCACCATACATTTTCAGCTTTATTTAAACTTTGGTATACATTGACAGTTGCTTTGATCATAATTCAATTTGAGAGTCAAGATGATGATCAGAATATGTTTGAGGTAAATATTGTTAAATATTTTATTTAAAAAGAACAATGTTTTCAATAAGAAGCCTGGGGGTGAAAGGGACTATATTTTTTTGCTTTTGTATACTTTCATGGATAATTATAGACTTTGGGTTAATGGCACCAGAAAAGAATCTGTCATAAGTTAGCACTTCCTCATTTTCTCTCCAATGTGCCTATGAAATCTTAAATCAAAAGTGTAAGAGTTCTGTAACATTAGTCAGACAACTAAGTGTTGAGAAGAGTGTTATTTAAGTAACAAACATCATTTACTGAATATATTATGTGCTATTCGTGTTATATGCACAGTATAATATTGCTTGCCTCAAAAATTATGCAAGGTCAGTATTTTTATTTAAGTTTTACATATAAGAAAATTGAGACCCATAGAGTTTCACTGAATTGTCCAAGTTAATACTAGTAGTACCAGAAAAAACTGAGACTCACATTCAGTCCCATTTGAAGTTAGTTTCCTTTTCCCTCAAAACCTCATACTGCCTTTTTAGGTTTGCCCTGTAATCTGAAACCACTAATATTTACCATTAAGTCTGTTAAACTGTATTAGCTGTATTCACAATTCGTTAAGATGTCCATTCCTTAGCATTTAATCAATCACAAAAGGTGTTTTTGATACTGAATGAGAAAGTAAACAGGATGATTACTTAGTCAAGCAGTTATTGCCCAGAAACAACGAAAAGCAAATGGAGTGTAAAGTTCTTAAGGATTAATGATGTCCTGCCTAACATAAATTAAATAATCACTTGAAGTTTGTGAATCTATATTTAGGTCTCTCTGTGTGTAAGTAAAATTTCAAAGACCTTGTTCTATTGCCTTACTGGAAGGACTATGAGCTTTGGTGTGGGTTGAAATTACATT